AAGTATTCCTGCAGCTTTGAGCAAAACTCAGCATGCTGCAGAAGGGACCCCACAGCGGTCCTGCGGCCCCAGGGGGCTGCGCTGGGTGCCACGCAGCACTGCATGGGCTTCTCTCTCATCACAGGGAGGAAAATGCAGCCGTGAGACTGGAAAACTCTTTTCGCATACTATATGATAACCAAAACAGGCCAGGCATATTTAAAACAGCTCCAGATGGTCATTTAGTCATGTATTTCTGAGCAAGATGCAGAGGTAGAATGCCTGTCTTTATTCACCTCTCACAGCAAGAAGAGAGGTAGTGCCGGGACTAAAGCTCAAAGGTCCGTTTTCTAAATTTTTTTGAAAACTGAACTAGCAAATACAAGATACTACTACACTACTTTGAGTTGGAGTATACTTCCCCAGGATAAAGGTGAAATAAGAACCCCCCAAAATTCATTTCTGTCTGTTTTAAAGGACCCTATCTACCTATATTACTAGAATATATGCATACACATGGCTAAGCAAGAGTACTGTATGCAAAATTAACAGGGAAATACTAAGAAAATCTATTTAACTCCATCACTGTAACTAACTTCCATTTTGTCCTCTATGACTTCTAGCATACTTAACTTTATAATTTGTGGAGTCACATCTCCCTCATTTTAATGATTATTTATTGCATTCTGTACAAGACGAACCCAGTTCAATTAATCAAGGGAAGCCTAAAAATCAATTAATATGAATTAAATGAGCTACACCAACTCTTAGGAAAGTCACACATAATTTACCAAAGCATTGTCAATAATGCTTAGGGAACTTCGGGAAAATTGCTCACGAGTGGCTGTTGATGCAGTTAAATGTTTTAAGCCTACATCATTAATATTACAATCAGGTTGATGCAGAAAGACTTGCCATTTTTCTCAGTAAGAAACCTCATTATTTTCTTGTGACTTTTAAAAGCTAGTTTAGAAGAATACTTATTTCACCTATGATTACAAAAAACAGAAATTAAAACAAGGACTAAATAAAGAATGATTCGCATTTAGGGAAAGCAGAAATAAATTGCTTTACAAATAAAAAATCAGAACATCATTAGTTGAGGCAAAGCTAGCATAAATTCATCTTAAAAATAAAACTGTTTGTAAAAGCAAGAAAAAAAAGGAATGGACATTTTATGCAGATTTGAGCAGCGCTTGGCTTCCAACTGAAATGCATTTCAGCCTTTTTCTCCTTTTTTTCATTGTGACACACACGCACCCTGCAGTACAGCTCTTCCTCGCGAAAGACAACCTCCTTACACATGATCCTTATGAGAGGTCTCTACTCAGCAGCCCTGAAAAGCCCTCTAACAACAGTTTCATTTGTAAATCAGTGAGGGAAGAAGTGGGTTCCGGTAGAGCTGGAAGTGGCCCGAGACAACTTGTCTCAATGGGGCAAAATAACTATTGTTATCGAGCTTAACAAAATGGCACAGCATGGGAGACACGCCGAGCCAGAGAGCAGCTGGTTGTAATTCACACTGGTTTTCAGAAAACACTAATCGTTCCCGAACAGACCTCTTTGAGGATTGGTCTTCCCTGCATTTTCAATTTGTCACTTTCTCTTATGATAAGGTCAGCGGTGACAGCACTTCCTGACATTAACAGCTGTGGCTTTTAAAAGGGTCATTGTGGAACTACTAATTGCAGTAATTTCATTAGCATAAATTATTTATTCTGCCATTCATTTATCTCCAGGGTTTTTTTTTTTCTAATACTACATTGTACTTTTCAATATATGCCCATTCAGGGTTGTAGGCAAAGGAAATTATTATTGCTAATTTAGCCTTCTTTATGAAAAAAAAGCAAACAAAAAAGAGTTGATACAGTAACAAAATCTGATTTAACTGCAGTTCACTAGAAAGCATAAAGTAGCTTGAAGCCAATAATGAAGATTAGGCTGGTGCAAATCAAAACCATTCAATAGTCCTAAAGATGACTGAGCAATAAGACTATATACAATCTGAAAGAAAATATAAGGGTGAAGTCTGTTCATTCTCATGCAGTCTCTCTATTCTAGGCCTTGGCTGCCTTAAGCATTCAAAAAAAACCCCAACCCAATGCAAGTTATGAGTATAGTTCAAACAGGAGTTTTGCCCTTTTACTTTCCTCAGGATGTAAATTAGTCACTACCAACTTGACAAAACTTAGCTCTTTGCAGTTAAGCTGAGCTAGCTGAAACACGCCAAGCAAAGAGCAAAAAAGACCAATGCCACTGAACTTGAATGCATCCCACAGGCAGCTATCAAAACTGAGAATAAAACCAAGCCAGCGTGTGTCTGAAGGAAGAGGTGAGCGTGGAGGGAGTGGGGAGTGTAAGAGGCAAGGGGAGAAGGCAAAAAAGTTACTTCAGGCTTCTCCTTTGCCATACCACATGTTGTAAAATACTTTGGAATACAATAAATTAAGAGTATAATGAATTTATCCTTGGTATGCTTAACAGTGTGCACCGTTTGGTGCTAAGCACTGGAGGAGCAGCATAAAAGACAGCAACTGCAAAACACTCGAAGGAGATGGCAGAGATGTACGTTGCTGTTATTTTCAAAGGGATGGATTCAACAATCCTGACTCTTTAATTCTGTACTCAGTGCTGATATGTGAAACCAGCTGAAAGTAAGGAAGAGAGATTGTGTCGTGTTAAATGCGGAGACGGGGACATGATTTCAAAATACTATAGATCATGTTTTATACCAAATGAGGCGCTTTTGTAAGTTCGTTAAGCTCCGTACATGGATTTCAGACTCGCTGCACAGTATTCTTTGCTTGTGCTCTTTTTAAATGTAAGTTTAGCAATTTGAGTGCTGAAACAGAAGAGGGCTCTTTTCCTTTCTTTTCTCCCAAGAAATCAGGCACATCCAAATTGATTAAATTTCTGATACTCTCATTTCTCCCCAAATATCTCTGAACTCACCGTCTCTTGTCCTTAACCCGCACATTGTCCAATGTCCTTCCGAGTGAAAAGGGGCTCATGGGACTTATTTTCAACGGGCACCATAATTAAGGAGGATCACTTGTTCTTTCTATTCAGATACTTTCACACAGGGCAGAAGGGATGTTCACAGCATCCTTCATAGCCCATACTGATGCTGCAGCTCACCATCTCCCTCCTGAGCTCAGTCTTCCCCCCTCCTTCCCTGGGTAAACTGTACCTTCCAGAAAAGTACCTAGACTTTGAAGATAAAGAGACGGAGAATCTAAGACTTCCTTCTCAACTCCCACAGTCACCGTGAATTTTTTATGGCTTTCTCTTACCCTTTAAACCCAGAAATTTTCCAGTTTTTGTTAAAACAATGTAGATATGATGTCATATTTGTATTGAACTTTTAAGAGGGGAAAAAAAAGATCATTAGCTTAACTTCAAGCTATGCTAATTAAAAAAATCTGTAATGTTGTTATACAGTGATGAACAGGAAAAAAACCCAAAAAACAGAAAAAAACCAACTATTGTTGGGTTTTTTTGGGAAACACTGAAACAGGACAATTAGGAACTAAGTGTCAATTATGCCAAGATAATCACTCAGGAACAGATCTTGCATTGCTCATCATAAGGGACAGCACAATTACAGTATGTTTCAGAACTCCAGGCGTACATGAGCCCTGGCTAACAAGATTTCTGTACTAAGAACAAACAAAAGGCTTTCCAGAGATATCTAAAATGGAGCAAGTGAAACGACGTATCACCACGCCAGCACTAGAGATGAGAGAATGAGAGGAGACCACCTCCTATAAATCTTCAATGGAGAGGGGATGGCAGACTGCAGCTAAGATTCCCTCTGTTCTTCAGGGTGGTCCTTTTCCACCCTGCCTCTCTCATTCTTTTGATATCTTAATACACCTCTGCAACTCTCCTGTCCCCCCTCCTTTTACTAACTATTTTTCTGTGACCATTCTCCCTTCACCTCCCTTTCACTCCTCCTCAGACTCTTTGCTGTACACCTCTCCTCCCTTTCTGGTTCAGTTTTGCATCCCTTCTACCTCTTTTGGTTGAGCTCCCCTCCTCTCCCCCCATAACACTGTCATAGTTTCTATGCTATTTCAACGTCCCTGTTCTGGGTTCACTTTTCCCATCAATTTCAAATCCTTCCCCTGTCTCCTCCTAATATTTTTTTGCATTCTGCTGTCTTGTCTGTCAGTCTTCTCATCGGCTGCACATGCAGACATGACTCAGGCACCCACTACCGCTTTACGTACGTTGATGACACAAAAACCTTAACTCGCTGTCAATAAAGTGTCACATTATTTTGTTAGTTGCCATTTATTTCACTTGCTGGGAACTGAACAAGAAAGATATTTACCAGGATCAGTTAATACCAATGTGCAAAAGAGAGTCATAAACAGTCACTTGGATCAGTGAATTCCTTCCTAAATATCTACAAAAGGAATTATATAGGAACATAATCCTTAAATAAAAAATAAAAAAAAATAACTCCTCCCAAACAGTTTCAGTATTAAAAGCCTAAATTCTGAAGACCAGATGTCTTTTCAAAGCAGCAAAATATAATCAATTAAGGGTTTGGAAAAAAAAATGCATTTAAGTCAAAACAAATCCTGTTCTCTTTTCTCCATGTAATTCCAGCAGTTTCTTTAAAATAAATGGGAATATGTAAGTTGGTATCACATTAAAAAAAGGGCAAAACACCCACATAGTCCACCGGACCACAAATAACTGTCCTAGTAACACTTTAAATCTCTTACGAGCTGGTAAAATAAAGGAGAAGATGCCGATGGAAAAATACAAACGAGGAGGATTTGCAAACACCTCTCTTTCCCCTGCAGCCCTATAGGAGGCATCCGTATGCCGCTGGAGCACGGGTACCAGCCCGCGGCGAGGGAGCCCCTGCCGCCGGGCCGCCTCGCCCAAGCCCCGGGGAGGGGAAGGGCCCGCCGGGTACCCTGGAAGCAGCCCCGGGCACCCCTGCAGACTTCCCCCTCTCCTTCGCCTTCATCTCCTGAGGACCCCGTGTATTTTGCAGGGGTTTGAATGGAGGACAAATGCTGTAAATGCATCAACCTCTTAGGCAGAGATTTGCCCCGGGACTGGTGCTACCCTTGACCAAAACCAGAAGGCTCTTCTTGGGCGTTCCTGAAATCCTGTCCCTCATGATTACAAATCGCCTGTACAAAGAAATTGTCCCAAATATAACAGCACTCCAGAGTGAAACTACTGCAACTACAATTGCTGAAAGAAAGTAAATCTTTTCTAGATCTATGTGAATTACTCCACCAGCAAATACCCGAGCAGTCTCACCGATAACACGACAGTGTTGTCCCATGCTGGGTGGGAGCAGAGGCAGCTTGTTAAAACTCTTCGAAGAATATGAGAATATTCCTTTTCCCTGAAAAGAAACCTCACTAATGCATGATTTTTTTCTGAAAACAAACAAGTTGTACTCCAGATCAATCAGGAACAAAAAGAGAATAATTGCGCAGATATTAAAACACTAAATGCATTTGCCATGTGGTTACAGGGGAAATTTTCACCTGCTTAGTTGCTGAACAGAGGGAAAACTTTTCTTTAGTTAGCCTGGACTGTGCACTGCAATATTTCAGCCTCACTTGCTACAGCACTAGTGAATATATTTAACTGTATTGAAAAGGGTTAAAGGAATTTTGTATCTATAAGATCCTAAAAAGCCTAGAACTGAAGGATTCTGCAAAGACAGTGCTATGAATGACACGCCTCTCTTCTTTCCCCTTCACTTCCCTCCCT